AGGAAGTTTGTGTTGTATGTGGTTTACACCACAACTAAGCTGTGGAAACGAGGAGGAAGGATGGTGTCACTGAACCCCAAAGAGACAAATGAAAAAGAGACAGATCTTCAAAAAGAATCAATCAATAAATAAATAAACCAGAAAGTGAAAAATATTAATTGAATGGAAGATACACATTAACAAAGCAAAGCATTGGGCCTGGTGGTGAGTGCCTGTACTTCCAGCACCCAGGAGGATGAATGGGAGGATTGAAAGTTCAAGACCAGCCTGGGTACGTAGCAAAGGCCTGCCTCAAAATTTTTACAAACCAAAATGAAGACAAAACATCAAGAAGGCAAGCGAAGTAAGAAAGGAAACCCTGATGGATGGAAGCAACTGGTGTAGGCAGGGAAAGCACGGTGGAGTGACACAGCGTGGAGAAACGTTCCTACACTGCTCCGAAAGACAGAGGAAACTATGGAGAGGTAGCTAAAAGACACGGGGGGGGGGGGGGGTGAGCTACTCTATGTTTACTTAATAGAAACTCTACTGGAAGAGGGTGGAGTAAATGAGAGGTTGTATTAAAGGAAGAAGCATAAAAGTTGAGGAGTTCCCAGAGCTAAAGTGTGGCCGTGCTCATTAAGTAGTGAAGAGAACTTCATAATCTTCGCTGCACAAACACAATGCAAAATGATGTCAAGTAGTGCACAGATGGAAAGATTATAGACTGTTTGTCTTCAAAAGCTCAATAGCAGACTGACAGTAGGTTGCTCAGAACTTTAGTTAAGAAAGAACCAGAGGCACTGCTCTCTGGTGTATCTTCCTTTCTGAGGGTATCTCTCTTTCTGCCTTAACTTTCAAGCTTAAAATCTGTATCAGAACTGCCTTTTAAGGACTCCTGCCCTCCACAAAGAAAGTAAGGGACACCTAGAATTCTATGGATCGTGATTCTCAGAATGATTGTGGAGTATAGACTTTCTCACACACCCCCGCCCCAAACCCCCAAGGGTCTTGGCTATTTGAAATATCTGCCGAGGATGAGTGTCTGGGCCCCAATGGTGATCTTCATCTCCTACACACACAGCAGAAAGAGAGAGAGGCTGCCTTCTGCTTTTGTCGTGAAGCCCGGTACCTGTGTTGAATGGTGACCCTGGGCCATGTTGCCCAGGATTCCGATTCTGTCAGCACAGATGAGAGGGGTGTCAGTGGTCTTCAGGGTTGCTAAGAGAATGGGAGGAGGAGGAGGAGACAGCAAAGCTTCTTGACGGCAGCTGAGGTGGTGGTGTGGATAGTGTAGGAGGGCAGAGGGAAGAGGCGAGACTGATGGTAGAGCTGGTTTCTGGGCCTCAGGTAAGGAGCCCAGGGATGTGAGAGCCCCTTCTGTAATGGCCCACTTTAGACAGTCTCTCTGTTTTCCAGATTGTGGACAAGAACAACCGCTACAAGTCCATAGATGGGTCGGATGAGACCAGGGCCAACTGGATGAGGTGAGTCCCATCCCTGCCAGCTCCAGTGAGCCTCACCAGCCTCGGAGTGGACCCAGCTCCAGTGAGCCTCACCAGCCTTGGGGTGGACCCAGCTCCAGTGAGCCTCACCAGCCTCTGGGGTGGACCCAGGGAGTATCCTGGGCCTCCAGAATCTCAGAGCTTTCTAGGCTGCTCCAGAACTGCAGCCGACAGGGTCTGGAAGAAGTGTCCTGTTCCCCAGGCTTCCATCAGAGGCTCTAGAGAGCCTGTGGCCAGACTAACAGGCTGCAGGAATCCATGGCTCCTGGTAGAACTCCTGCAAAGAAGAATATGTCCCCAACCTAGGATGGACCACTGACATTTAGCCCAGGGCATTGCTGCCTGGATGACATCATTCCAGGGAAGACCCTGAAGTCATCCTATGGTTTTATGGGAGTGAAGGCTCCTGATATCTCCAGCTCCCTTTCCCATGGGGCTCACACTAAGCTTGACTGCTGACCAGCATGGTTCTACCCTGGCCCATGCTGTGGCCCAGGACTGTGTGTCAGAAGCATTCTTAAAGTCTAGCCAGAGAGAGCAGAGGATTAAGCAAGGGCCACTTCCCAGGTAGCCACACTGAGTTGAGATCCATGCTCAGAGCTGGCCTGTGTGATACGTGTGGGTCCTACCAGTGGAAAAAGGTCAGTCTGACCCCGGTACCGCTTGGTGGTCTACATGTGGGATCCAGAGACAGTGATGGGTGTTTAGATTTGTTTAGCGGAAAGGAAGGCCTTTGTGGACTAGATCATGATTCCGAGGCCCTATCACATACAGTTCTGTGTGTCTCAGATGGCAGATGGGTGACCTTTGGGGACTGACGGGAAGATGAGAGATGGGGACAGCAAGGGATGTCTCAGGCAATCTGAGCACCTGAAGAGGAGCTGGTTGGAAGTGGGAAGTCATGAGGAGGTCCCTGTGTCCCTCTCCGTGGCCTCACTGCCACCTGTATGACCTCAGGGTTGCATCTGGTTTGCAGGACAGTTTGGGCTCATCCTCTAGTTGAGAGCACAGCTGTTTCCACTGCCCTAGACAGGTGCAGAATCAGCACCCACATATGGCCTCCTCCTCTACGAGATGGTCATCTATCCCTAAAAGTGGCACCAGAAGTTGTACTTGATACTCTTAGCGGTCTTCTCTCTCTGCGCAAAGGTCCAGGTCAGCTTGACAGTGTCTCGATCCTTACACTGAGCACCGCATCAGCGCAGATTCATATGGACGCTTGACAGTAGGGTAGTTCAGCCCAGCCCTCCTCTGCCTTCTGCACCCCTACAGGCACACCTGTCACTGCATAAATGTCAGAGAGGCACAGATATGTGCTGGGGGGGGGGGTCCAGATGGGATAGGGAGGAGCCTTTGATATGTGCCTTCTGAGGGTCCAGGACTTTGTTGAGGACAGCCGGAGCAAGCGGGCATGAGCCTTACAGAAAGGCTGCTGATGGACAGCACAGCCCTGGGCTAGGCCTTCGCATGCGTCACCGCGGTCAGGTCTAGGCCCACTGAAAGAGTGAGTCTGATGCATCCTGTGATAGTTATTTGCAGATCTCTAGAAACTATGGCTCATAGAATGGACCTGTCCTATGTGTCCTCCCATTTCTGAGCTTTTGTTTGGGCAAAGGGTTTTCCCACTGCCCCTTAGAAGACGGTGCCTCATCTCAACCAACTCAGCCATTGTTTAGCATGCCAGGGATGCTCGTGTAACTCGGTTGGGGATGGGTTCTGGAGCATCACAATTTTGCAAGCTCTTTATAGTGACTCTGACGTGGCCACTCAGGCTGACAGCCGTTGCTCTTGCTAGTGGTCATGCCCCAGTGATGAACTGAGACCCAGAGCAACGCAAAGTCTTGCTCACATTCATGTCATCTGTGGCAAAACAAGGCCTGGGGCCCTGTGTCTCTAGACCTGCAAGCCACCACTCTTTCTGATAATAAACACAGAACCAAGCAGAACACGGCTCCTCGTGGCTGTCGGGGTTCAGTGGGTGGAAGTCTGCTGCTCTCAACTTTATTAACGTGTCTCTGTCCTGATACCCCAGCCTTTCCTGACCCCAGGTGACTCCTGGGTAGTCAGTCTTAGATGATGTGTCCTGATTTAAGGTTCCAGGATCCAGTGATTGTGTGTGGCTTTGCTTTTGGGAGCTCTTGTTAATTTATAGACTCTTAGTTGTGCTGTCACAGGCCAGGGCCTTGGGGGTGATGTAATGGATCAATATCTTTATGAAATTAGTGGTGGGCCCAGCAAGGGGTAGGTACAAGGACATTCATATCTTGAGTGTTAACCTGTACAAGCTGTGTTAGGTGCTCTGCATGCAGTAATTCTCGACCAGGGGCACTTGAGACGTGTGTGCCTTTGGCAATGCTTTCAGACATTCTAGATGAGCACAGCTTCATGCTTGGGTACTCCTGGTTTGCAGGGGTAAAAGGTAAGCATATGATTGAACATTCCACACTGTACAGTAATCTCCTCTCCTAACACAGACTCTGCGTTCCCATAGGAGCATAATTAGGGACCTGTGGGCTTCACCCTAGTTTTACAGAGGCCCTGTGGTCCCCAGGGATAGTCACAAGTCTGTCTAAGGCCTTTGTCCTGAGCTGGGTACCGAAGCCCCGAGCTTTCCTTTATCTGATTACACTCATTTGGCTGGGAGTATTCAGAGGTAAGGTTGGAGGAACCGTGTCCTGCTGGGACTACTGTGATTTTTAGAAGCATCCAGAGGTATGGGTTATGATCCGAGTTTGCCTCAACACACTGGTTCCTCCTGGGTGGAACTGTCGTTTCAAAGCTATAGTGAAAGATAGGTAGAACTATAATGCTCTTTGAGTTCTAAAGCCAGAGCAGGTGCAAGATCAGGCTGAAGAGCCTCAGCGAAATCACAGTTATCCTAGTGTCCATCCAAGGGTAACACATCTCTTGGTGGATGCTCATGGATGCCTCATACCATAACTAAAATGCCACAGCAGGCACGGCATGAGGAGCCCCTGGTGGTGCCCCTGAGGGAGAAGAGCTTGTCACACATGTTCAGAAGTAGGGACATGAGAGATGCTGGAAGAACGGAAACAGGTCACAGGTAATAGAATAAGCTTTCTGTGGTTGCAACATGATGGACACTGGCAACCGTGCCACAGCCACCGCAGTCCACTGTGGGCTATGTTCTAAACTAACTTGATATTTGTGTGTGTGTGTGTGTGTGTGTGTGTGTGTGTGTGCACTATTGTGTGCAGATGGTCACAGTGGCCAAAAAGGGGCAACAGACCCATTGGAGTTTGAATGGCAGGCATTTGTGACTTACCTGATGTGGTTGCCAGGATCCAAATTCTAATCCTCAACAGAGAGTTACAGTAAATTCCTTAACCACTGAACTGCTTCTCCAGTCCCTTAAGTGGTTAAAGCTCTTATACCCTCAGAAACTGGTCTGGAAGGGGAGAACAAAGCAGCAGAGGTCGAGTGAGCTTGAACTGTCTGGTGCTCGAGGCTAACGAGAGGTAGGGTAGTCTACCCTGCAGTCACTGGGCTCCTACCACCTCCTTCCTGCCTTCCCTCTGAGGAGAGAGGGAAAGGCATCGCTGTAGGAGGAGGGTGTGGCAGGGCCTGGGTGGTCCCAGGTGTTCCCCGGCTTCCCAGATGGGGCCTGTGATTAGGAAGGAGGAGGACCACCCTCATTAACGGTCATTTACCCAATTATGCTTTGTGGGATATTCAACCCAAGGAACATGCTGCCCCTGACCGAGCGTAAGAGGAAGCCTAAATTCTCCAAGAAGGAGCTGGACATTCTAGTCACAGAGGTGACCCGTCACGAAGCAGTTCTTTTTGCCAGAGAGACCATGCGGCTGTCCCACTCCGACAGGGACAAGATTTGGGAAGGCATAGCTCGGAAAGTTACCTCCGTCAGCCAGGTTCCCCGCTCCATCAAGGACATTAAGCACAGGTGGGATGACATGAAGCGCAGGACCAAGGACAAGCTGGCCTTCATGCGGCAGTCACTGTCGGGCCCAGGGATCGGGGGCCACGCCCATCCCATCATGCTCGCTGCCCACGAGAGAGCCATCAAGTCTGCACTGCTCACGGCCAGGGCAGAGATGGATAGAACCGACAGCCTGTCTACCAGCTGTGAGTATCGCTGCCTGAGTGTGGGCCTTGCTTCCTCACATGCACCTCTTCTCTTGCTAGCTCTCAGCCCTGCCTGTCTCCCTGACCCTCTCCATGGCCCCGTCTTACTTCTGTCCTGTCTCCTCTTCTTGCACATCCATTCTGTGCCAGAAGCTGGCTTGTGAGCAGGAAGGACAGGGCTGTATCTAAAACTCACACAGACAAGTGTGGGACTAAACGAGCTTCAGAGGGATCCAGCCTGTGGCCTAAGGGTTACATGCATAGCCCTGAAGGTGGCCTAACACAAATCATAACCTTGTTTAAAACAGTACAAGTTTTTTGTTTGTTTGGTACCTGGAGCAGAAACTTTGTAGTTGACCTTGTGTTACAGTGTCAAAAGGTTAGACATACCTTCTTGATTATTCACCTTAGAGGAAGAATGAGAGCTCTCCCAGTCCAGTATATCCCAGATGTCCAGCCTTGGACTTTTGTGATCTCCAGGGCCCACACTGGGTCTGCCGCTCTGCAGTCTGTGCTGGGTCTGTGAAGCACATGAATGGAGTGCTGCAGCTGTAGCAAAGGCCAAGCGTGGCTGAGGAAGATGTTTGAGGGTTGAGGAAGAGTTAACCAAGCCTGGTGTGAGGCGCAGAGGAGGGGAGGGGAAGGCGAGCAGGCTGGGAACAGCATGTACAAGGCCCACATCAGGAAGGCGCTTGGCACGTTCCAGGAACTGCAGAAGCCAGGGAAGCCCCATGATAGCCAGCAGGGGGAGGGGCACCACCACAGCAGCCAAGTGGCAGAGCTGGGCCAGGCAGAGACCTTTCTTCGTGACTGACTGGTCACCCTGTCTGCTTTGTCCTCTACTCTCCAGTCTTCTGAGCTTGAGCTACTTCTCTTGGGTTCCTGCTTCTTGGTGCTCACCTGAGACTGGCTTGGCTCCTTCCTGTTCTCCTCTGGCTCCCCCGCCCCACCCATTCTGTTTCCATGTGTGTCTCACCTTCTATTTTCCTGGGACTTTAGCCGTTCTAACTGATGTTCACCAGAAGGGGGAGCCATCGGAGTCCGTCCCTGAAGAACGCCCCCCTCCCACTACTATTTCACACACACACACACACACACACACACACACACACACACACACACACCCTTCCTCATCTGCTAATGGAGTCCTGCTTCCTCATCCTTAATGGAGTCCTGCGAGCAGGGCAGGAGGATCCAAGGAAGCTGTGGGGCCCAGCATTCAGCCAGCAGGAAAGTGGTTCACCAAGTCCAACTTCCTCCCTGGCCCTTTGCCACGGGGATCTGCTTATTTCCTGTTTGGCTGAGGTCCCTGACAGGTGGCCACGCACAAAGTCAGCCTCAGGAGTAGAAAAGAGTGTTCATGATGAGGCAGACTTCCTTGTTAGCCAGCTGAGGCAAACAATCTTCCAGAAAATGGAGGTGGCCCTGAGACATCAGAACCAGACTTGAGCCTGGACCTGCCAGGGTTTGCTGAAGCCTCAGAGCTGGCAGCATCCGGAAGAGCTATTTCCTGAATCCTACCCTGTTCACCCCTCTGTCTCCTAGAGATCAAAGATGATGAGGTTAGCAGAGGTAACCTGGGCTGCAGGAGCCCCCAAATCTATTAAGTCACAAGCCTTAGCCTGGCTGGGGCTGTAGTGGCCTGAGGGCTTGGAAAGGGGGTAATGGCAGCTCAGAGTGCCACTCCTGCCCTTTCTGACATCCCACAAAGATGGCTGCCGCTTATGGAGCATGCTCAGGAAGCAGTAGGCTCCCACTGTGCCAGCATCAGGAGACCCGGGGACCTGTGTAATCAAGCACTCATGGGTGGGCCATGATGTACCTGACCTCACAGCCCACCTTGGGGGACAACAGGGCTAGTGGCTTGCCCCACGTAATCCTGTTGAATCCTGCACCAGCCCTTCCCTCTCATCTCCAGCCAGTTGGCATCTCCCTGTAGTGGTTTGTTAGGATCCCAGCAAGGCCACAAGGTGGCCCCAAGCAACTTTGAAAGTCCCTCCCTTGTGGAGACCAGTGCTCACAAGAGAGCAGCTTAGAACCTCTCACAGGGTAGTGCTTTCAGCTCTGCTTTTCAGCTCTGTAGGGTCTGGGAGCCCCCACCAAGAGCCCAGCCAGGGCCCCAGGGGTTCAGCAGAGCAATCGTTATTGTTCCTTTGAAGGTAGTGAAATGGAATGACACCATCAGAGTCATGAGACTGGCATGGCTGCCACTGAAGTTGGAGTCTCCTTTGCTGGACTCCTTTTGTAGAATGTAGCTGTCTCTGTGGGAAGAAGGGAACCAGCTCCTGCTCAGCCTTCTACCAGTGCTGGACCTACACACCCCAGGGACTTAGAAGCTGGCATTTCTCTGTATGTGGTGCCAGTGTAGGCTGAGGGGTGGGCAGTAGGGAGTTTTCAGAGGTGGGCCTGTGACTGGGGCTGCCTTTTCCACCGTTTTGTAATCATCTGTCCTTCTCTCCCTGTCTGCTCCAAGATGATGGAGGTGAGGAAGCTCCTGGGCCCTCATGGCAGCCTCTTCAGATGCCCCTACTGCGTCCTTCAGAGGAAGAGATCCCCCTGGCCAGGTCCTCTCTGCTCTGTTCATCTTCCTCAGACCAGTCCAAGATGTTGGGACCTAAGCCAGAGGTCCTGCCCCATCCCTCTCTCTGGGCCCAGGCCCACAGGACCCCAGAGCCACATCCCAACTCACCCACCATGGGCTTGGACTGGCATCTCCTGCATGCCCATGCCCATCAGACTGAAATGTTCCAGAAATTCTGCCAGGAGCTGGTGACTGTGCACCAAGACATGGCCGACAATATGCATGTCATCAGCCAGACTATGGCTGAGCTAAACAGCCGTGTTGGTCAGATGTGTGAGATGCTTACGAAGATCCGAGATGCAGTTCAGGCATCTCAGCATGGGCCAGAAGGGGTGGCCCCCATTGACTACACTTTCCAGGCTCAGGCACCCCTGTCGGACCCTACACCAGCTCCCCCAGAACCAGCCCCAACACGGACTACCAGGTCTCGGAAGAGAAAGCACAAGTTCTAACCTGGCCAGTTTGCATAAGGAGGAGCAATGCCGGTGGTGTCTGACCTCGAGATAGGGGAGTCTCTTGTGTCCAGAAACAAGACTGATGACCCTGGGGCACAGTCATCTCTTCACCTGGTGCAGTCCAGCTTCCTGTGCTTTAACAGAGCGGGTATACAGGCCCACCACCCCCTTAATCTCAGGAAGATGCTCAAGACACAAGAAAAGCTGTCTGCTTGAATGCTTGCTTGGCCTAGAAGGTTGCTCTCCTCGTGGCCTGTATCCTATATCCTATGGAGCAGGCCTTGCTGGGGCAGGGGGCAGCATCCAACAGAGTCTTGCTTTGAACTCTGGGCTGCAGCAGAGCTGACCTCCCAGGTCCTGATTCTGCCCTTTCCAGGTGGTGCGGCCTGTGGGTGGATGGGGCTGGCTCAGCTGGGTGGGTGGGGCCCGGCCTTGGCCCTGCGCTTGCCCTGCGTTGCTCAGCTGCCCTGCTTGCCTTTGGGGTGGGGGGAAGGAGAATGGGGCGTGCCGATGCGGGAGGTGGGGGTGGGGAAGAGATGATCTTGCATCCTTAGCATACTGTAAGCTTTCCCCCCAAGCCTGCACATGACAGGCCATCTCAGGAAGCTTTCTGAACAGTGAGGAGGCAGCCAAGTCAGACTTTACAGTCACTGATCTGGTCATTCCAGTCATTGTCATGCATCTCAGGGTTCAGAAATGACACAGCCATGTAGTGGGGACCTGGCCAGCTTTCTTCAAGAGGCCAGACCTAGGGCACTAATAGATGGGGATCTTGCTCCTCACCTAAGCTCTGCCTCAGTTTCTACAGTTGGAAGAGGGAGCGAAAACAGAGTGGAGACGAGTCTGCCAGCCTGTGATGGCCTTGGGTCTCATAGCAATGGTGGAGAGGTCCTGGGCCCAGGCCTCAGGAGCCAGCAGGCATACTGTCCACTCACTGGCTCCTAATAAGGCCAGAGACCAATGAGGCTGTGTCCGGTCCACCTCCCAGCATGCCTTGCCTCTGCTTGCTTGGGCTGTATGTTCACTTAGCCATACATACTTCTAGCTTTGTGTTTTGTTTAAGGGGCATGGCCAGGGAACTGGGTTCTTTAAGTCAGGGAGGAGAAACTAAGCCAAAGACTTCACTCTGACCTTAGGTGCAGCTTTGACCTCGATCTCTGGCCCGGGGCTGACCCCAGCAGACCTTTCACACCCTCCCTTTCTCTCTAAGAAACTAAGTGGACCTGGAAGCCTAATGGACCCAGGGCCCACTGAGGCTGTTGCTAGAGCTGTTTATAAACACACACCATGCTTCGTCCAACATGAAATGATGGGACAGATGGCACCTGCCACATGGGTCATGGGTCTCCATTGCCCCAATTTGTGGTTCTTTGGGGGTTCCTGCCCCATCCAACTACATAGTGTCTTGTCCAGTAATAGCCTGGTGCCTGGAATTGCCTTGCCCGTCCATGCTGGAACCCAAGATGGCCTTCTCAAATATTTTTGTTAAGATGGCAATAAAATGAATCAGATGTCACACTTTGAACACAGCCAGGCTCCAGGATCTTTTATTTTGGTGTGTATTCTCTTTCTTCATATCCCAAGGAGACTCCAGGAGCCTGCAGAACAGGGATTAGATGCCGAATGGAAAGTGTGTGGGGAAGAGGTCTCTGTGGTCCTTGCATATCCTGGATTCCATAAACTCCCCATGGGCATGACCAACCCCATGCTTGGCCCTCCAGAGGAAAGGCAGCGGCTTGTAGGCCAAAGGCAGCTGAGCAACCACGGCTGCTAGGTCTTTTTTTTCCTCCTGCACATCAAAAGTGAATTTAACCTTATGCTCCCCAAAAGTGTTGCAGTTTCTAGGGAGCTAAATAGTTTCTGGCTGGAGACTTGAGAGGCTCCTGGCTGTCCATTTGGGGCCATCCTGGGGCACACCTCTGTAGTGGCTATATTTCCACTGATGTTGGTAGCTGCCTGTGAAAGGCAAGGCCCTGCCTGCCAAGACTCTTTGGAGGAACCGGAGTGGCTTCCTCTTGCATTCACTGGAGTGTGCCCCACCACAGAGCTGTCTTCAGCTTACCTCAAGTCGTGGAGAGCTTCCTTGAGACAGGAATCCCCAAATTGTAGTCTGTAATGTCCTTTCTGAGTAGTTCTTAGCTACCTTTGGCTTTGGGATCCAGACCATTCTCTTAAGTTCCTGACCAAAATGCATGACCATGGAAATTAAGATTGCAGTTTGCAGGATACAGAGACCCCACGAAGGTGGCCTGGGTCTCTTCTGATACCCAAGGTCTGTGAGACTGGTTGGCCTCTATTTCTGGTGTTAGGAAAGAAGAGGCCAAATTAAAGGCTGTATACCAGAAACAAGGTCAGAGTCCAGGGACAGTGGTCAGTTTGAGATGGAAATGATTTCCATTTTGGTGTCTTGGTGACAGTGGGGAGAAGAAGAAATGAATGGGGAGCCTGTCTCAGCTTTCAAACAGGAAGCCTTGGAAGGAAGCCCATAGCATATGGGGCGATGTTTTACAGAGGCTGGGCAACGGCCTAGATGCCAGAGACCTAATCCAGTGACATCACAGAGCCCAGCTTCTTGCCCAGTCTTCCCATTTCTGTCTTCCCGGAAAGCTGTGTTGGCCAAGACAGGCTTGTGTCAGTCCCATTAAACAAAGCGGAGATCTCTGTGGGGCATTTTCTTTCTTGAGTCGGAACCCGTAGTCATTTCCTGACCCAGCTAGAAAATATGGTACACTTGATAAGACCCAGTGGGTGAGGCCTGAGAATTGTCTCCCTGTGCTTATCTGTCCAGCACCCAAGGCCAGCAAGGAGACAGGACTCAAAACAATGTGTTATCTTCTGGAAAGATTCAGTCCAGGACCCCTGCACTCCCCACCACTGTCAGTCACCTTTTAATTACCTCTAGGGTGCCTGAGTCTGAACTGCCAGATGTGAACTCAGTCTCTACAGGACAGCCTGGACCCAGGCATTTCCCACTCTGCTGTGCTTTTCCAACAGAATGTGAGCTGGGAACTCAGACCCCCTTGTAGACAATCAAGCTTGACCACAAGGAGAAGACAGTTCCTGGAAACTGTGGTGTCCTTGGCCGTGTGTCACAGGACAGTATTTCATAAGAATGAGCACAGCAGGATTCCAAGAATGTACCAAGCCATTGAGTGTTACCACTGTAAAGGGAAGGGACCTAATTAGAGGTGATGGGTCCTGAGTTTTAGCTGGATGCAGTTAATTTTCTCTTGAAAGTTCTGTCACATAAACATGTCTTGTCGTGGAACTGGGTGGCTGTGATTCACCCGAAGTTGCCATATGTATCTCATTTCAAAAGCAAGTTTTAAAACAACCAAATACAAGATGCTCAACACATTTTGGTCTGATGCTGGAAATACTTTGTGATCTGTATGAAGACTGAGGCTGCTCTTTCTAAATGCTGGCTCTTGTTAGGTAGAACGACACTTGGGGGGAGGTGTCGGGGGCAAAAGGAAATGGATACAAATCGTTTGAAATGTTTAGACCCATTCCAGACATTGCTGTTTTGTTTTTTTTTTTTTTTTTGTTGTTGTTTGTTTGTTTTTCGAGACAGGGTTTCTCTGTGTAGTCCTGGCTGTCCTGGAACTCACTTTGTAGACCAGGCTGGCCTCGAACTCAGAAATCCGCCTGCCTCTGCCTCCCAAGTGCTGGGATTAAAGGCGTGCGCCACCACTGCCCGACATTGCTGTTTTGAATCAACAAACCTTGATAATGACTCGTTCCTCATTTACCTTTATCTCTGGCATTTAGTATTTGATGGCTGGCCAGAAACCAAAACGGGAAAGGGAGAAGGTACTCTGTATGTATTCTGTGAACCAGTGGTTCTCAAGAGAACACATGAATGGGATTTTTTCCTTCTGGATGTGTCTGGAACAGAAAAGCTTGGAGCTACATTTATTCTGTGCCCTGCTGACCATTAAGCTGGTTGTTTTTGGACATTAGTCCAAAGGTGCTAAATTGTAAACTTGAAATTATTTTGCACAGGCAAGAGAAATGTCAGGATTGGAGATGATGCTGTTCCTTTGAGTGGAGAGATGAGGCTGAGTGTGACTTCTGCAGTCTTGGGGTCTGTCTTTTTAGCCTTTGCTAACAACAATGTTGTGGCTAGGTGCATAGAGATCTGCATGAGATTTTCACAGCTTGCCCGGGGTAGGACTCTCTGATGCTCTTGTAAGATACCGATGGGGACACAGGACTTACCTGAGACCGAGGTCCTGGGCAAGATGTCTGACCCAGGGCTGTAAGGAACATTGATCTTGTCCAGATTGGAGGAGCTTGGTGTTTGCTCTCCCACTGCTTGGGTCTTCATCCCTCCGTCTATGATATCTTCTGTCACCAGAATAGATTGTTTCCTGGGCTTCAGGGGATGTGTTTGTAAGGTGCCAGCCTCCTCTAAGGCAAAGTCAAGCTGATTCTACAGGGACCTGTCCAGATAAGAGCGGGGGAATATAAGGACTGCAGGAACTGCCCTAGGGGTGGAGCAGTCTCCAGTGTAAGTTCTTGGAGCTGCCGGCCCCCATTGTCACCTAACAGAGGAACTGACATCTGTATGATTGTTTTCTCTTTGCCTTTTGGGTGAGAGAAGCAGCACTAACTTCACTGAGGAAATCTGGAAGGTACAGACAATTCCAGAGGCTATCCACCCAAAGCAATGGTTGTCATGGGTAACATATGGGTGTGTTTTCTTCACGTTATTCTGCTGGTAGACCACTGTTAGAGCACAGTGTACATGGCTTTGGCTCCCACCTGTCTCACTTTGCATCACAGCGGCACTGTTTTGGAGTTGGGCAAGGTGATACCAGGATGTTGGAAGTGTCATCTGAAGGAAACTGTGTGAGGGGTGTGGATTCACTGACGTCTTGGGCATTGCTGAGTCGGTGCTTCTATGTCCACATGGAAGCCATGAATTGTAGCTCAGGGAAGGATAGGCCACAAAGCTGCATTGCTAGCATTGTCATTGGACACGTTTCTCAGCCTCTCTGAGCCTTTCTGTTGTTGCTTCTCATTTCCCTTCCCCCTTTGTCCTCATTGGACCAACTATAAAGATACTGCTCTAACCCTGAGCTACCATTGGTCCCTCTTAAAGGATCGGTTATTTCTGCTAAGCCTAGCAAGATATGGAAACAGCCCAAAGCTTCCTTCTGCCCTAATTGCCATCAAAGGCCTGAGGTGAAATGTCAATGAACGTGGAGCTGGAGCATGCATGGTTCAGTGCTTAAGAGCACTGACTGCTCTTTCATAGACCCCAGGTTTGATTCCCAGCACTCAGATGGTA